CCCATCTGCCTGGAGCACCCCGCGCCTGCCTGGAGCACCCCACGTCTGCCTGGCACATGTCTGCCTGAAGCACCCATCTGCCTGGAGCACCCCACGCCTGCCTGGAGCACCCCATGCCTGCCTGGAGCACCCCGTGCCTGCCTGGAGCACCCTGCGCCTGCCTGGAGCACCCCACCTCTGCCTGCAGCACCCCACGTCTGCCGAAGCACCCCACCTCTGCCTGGAGCAGCCCAGGTCTGCTGCCCCCCTGCTCAGCAGCTGCCCACCCTCCGCCGCGTGACCTCCCGGCTGGGTCTCGGGTGCTGGTGGGTCTGGTGAGGACGCACTGCCGGGGAGCCCGAGCCCTGCCACTGCAGAAGGTGAACGCGCGTGTGTGTGAGTCAGATTGCGTGACTGGAGGCGTCCGGGGAAGGGCCCCCCCCTGTGCTTCGCGCTGATGTTCTCTCCTTCGTCACGTCGTGACGCGAGCAGCTCTGACTTGAGTCTTCCGCCACCGCCACCACAGAGAGCAGAGAGCTAGGCTCTGGCCGCCCCGACTCCCGGGCGGCCACCGCCCGCCATCCCTGGGGCCCCGCCAATCACAGCCGCGCCATGGCGCCTCGGGCACCCCCCCACCTGCCACACGTATGCAAGGAGCCACCCAGACGACCCGCGTCTGCCACACTGGCTCCCAACAGCCGCCAACTTGGGCTGCCCCCACCCGCGTTTTCGGCAGGATGGCAGCCCCGAAGCCGCAGCTGCACACAGCCTGGCCCTCAGCGGGCAGGGGTCGGGCGCCTGCGGCCTCCCCGCGTGCCTGCTGCTGGCCAGAGATGCCACGATCCTCGCAAACCACGAGAGGCTCCGTGACATCGGGGGTGGGGTGCTGACACACGTGACACACGCATTCAGGGCCGGGGCCGCAGCACGATCAGCGTTTTCTCAAGTTGACAAGTGTTTTGTAATTCCTTTTTTTAAAAAGATTTATTTGTTCATGCAGAACTGGGGTACAGGCCAGAGGTGCAGGGGCGGTGCAGGCAGACGGATGATGTCCACTGCTGAGGGGAGCAGTGGGCGGGTCAGGGGAGGTCTGCTGTGTCCTGCAGGTCACCTGCGGGGCAGGCGGGCATCGAAGTCTTGCTGACGCGGCTTTAGCTTCTCAGTGTTGTGCTGTACCCCGCCGCACCACCAGGGAGGGCCCAATTTTTTATATTCTGAAAAAGAAGTTTGGGGTCTAAAACGCTCAGAAGCCCGTGGGACCAAAGTCACCGTGATGTCTAAGACGAGAGGTTTGTTAGAAAGATGAGGTAGAAGGAAAAGACGTCCGCCTCCCTGCAGGCAGCTACGTGCCGGACGGCCACACATGGGGGTGAGCGCTGGGCAGCCACGCTGTGGCCACAGCAGCCGTCGGCTACCCGCAAGCATTTCGGTGGTCACAGCGGAGTTCTGCCAGGACCGCACCAGCTCATTCCTTGGCTCTCCAGGGGCAGAGTCAAACCCTGCCCAGGGCCTCCGTGAGCGTCAGCGCGAGTCTGATCCCCGCCCCAGGGAGACCCCCAGGGCCCGGCCCAGCGGACCCCTCCTGTCTCCCCGCTGCTCCCCTCTGCAGTGTGTTTCATCGATCTGCCTGTTCTGCCCCCCCACTGTCTCTGGTGAAGCCTCTCACCTCCCCTGCACTTCTGGCCTGCACCCCAAGTCTGTATGCATCAATAAGTAAGCCTTAAAAAGAAAACCCTGCAGAGGTAAGTGTACACTGGGCCGGTTTCCCATCACCAGCCAGTCCTAGCCTGAAGCTGCCAATAAGCGCCCACCACAGAACGTGAGAAAAGGCAGCTACGCATCGACGCACTGACGCACCGCCCCCCCCAACCCCATCAGCTTGCCGCACGCTGGCTGATAATGGGGCATTAGGGGGTTAGGGTAGCAGCTGGGGCCCGGGACGTCACAATCCCCTGGTTCTGTGAGAAAGGACACACGGATTTTCGCGAGCCAGCACCACTGGCATCCGGACGCTGTGGGGGGCCCCATGGACAGGGCCACTGTTCGCACCGACTTGGGGGCTGCTCCAGCGTCCGTGACTCAATGGCGTGGCACCCGGACGCTGTGGGGGGCCCCATGGACGGGGCCACTGTTTGCACCGACTTGGGGGCTGCGCTAGCGCCCATGACTCAACGGCCTGGCACGTCCCTGCTGCGCTCAGGGAGTGCAGTGGCTGGAAGCGGTCCCTTTTAACACCTATTTGCAAAACTCTGCTCTCCCCTGCAGGGCAGTGAAACTCACCCTGTGTTCCCCACCCCACCCCCACACACACCTCCTGCCCTAGAGACTATTTTTGTAGCCTTTTGGGGAGGAACTTAACAGGGCAGACATGACCGTCGCCATCTGCGCATCATGGAACGTGGGCAAGGCACACCTGAGGCAGGTCCGAGGTGCTACTGCTGGCTTCCACGTAGAAGGGAGACTCTGAGCGAGGAAACGCTGGAGGAGCACTGCTGGCAGTCATAGCGCCTGCTTCTGACAAGCCTCCGAACTTCAGGGTGGGGCCACCTTCGAGAGGTATACAAGCTGATGGTGATGACCAAGCTTTCTACTACTCCTGGCTCCTAACTGTCGAGTGATGGCGGAAGATGTGTCTCTTGGGAGAAGAACACAGTTCAAATGTCTGTTAGCAAACAACACACTTGCTTCCTCAGCCTGCCGCAGGCTGAGCAGCGAAAGTCACTGGGGCTTAAAACATCACCGGGGAAGCTATTGGGAAATGTTGCCGTCTGAGCCTGCCATGGTGACTTTGCGGGAAAGTGTACGATTCAAACGCCAGTGAGCCAGGGTGTGGCTACTGCCCAGAAATCCTAACAGGCTTGGGGCGTGGAGACAGTGGGATCTGTTATTTAACCGAAAGGGATTGGCAAAATGAGACCGACTTGTGTCCACAAACTACCGTGTTTCCACAATATTCACGATAGCTTTGGCACAAGTATCTCATCTTCTGGTCAAATCAAACTTGGGAAGTTGATCCCCCTTCCTATGGCACCCCAATTCTCTCAGGCATGGGGGTTTGAAACTTGGGGACATCGCTGGATCCCCTAGATTTGTCCTCCTGAGCATTCTGTCCGTTTCTCCTTTCAACTGTGTCCCGACCCTTGTCATCGCTCGGCCCCAGGTCCTCATGACCAGGTGGGGAGTTGCACAAAGTCCAAACGCCTCCACTTGAGGTTCTGCTCTGGGTCTTCCGGGCCAAGCCCACACCACCTTCCCCAGCGCTCCACAGTCTGCCTGGCAAGAGCCTCCGTTTCCTTCCCGTGCAGCCTGTGGGTGGTGTAAGCCCCTCTGTCGAGTTGGAACCGCGATGCCACAGTCGCACCTGCTGTCCTGTTTCCTCCTTGGGGTGGCAGCCAGTGCTGACCCCGAGTGTGCAATGTGCCCCGCACCCCACTGGCGTTCTGACCAGCCCTCCTCTATGTCCACCCACTACCCACAGTGGCTTTTTATTTTATTACATCCGAAAGAGCAGTTTTATCAGGAAGACACTTGCACAGCCTGGGCGGGCCGGAGGGCGGGCTCTGCGGGATTCCTTGTCCTACTGAAGGAGCCAACTGGTCAGTAACCCCCTGCAGTGAAGGTGCCCACTGCGTCATGCTGGCCGCGCAGGGCAGGGGCTGGGGCGGCTCGGTGCAGGCTCCCGCTCACCTCTCCCGCCCTCCAGAAGGGGCCGCTGCTGTTTCCGACACTTCGCTCTGTGCAGAAGGCCAGGCCAGCCCGCGGAGCCCCCGGCCACCACTTGTGGCCCTGGAGCAGAGAGAACGCGCCGCCGGGCGGGACCGGGCGGGGCTGCCCCTCCCTCTCTCACCCGCCGCCCCAGGGGGACCCCAGACCTGTAAGCTTTTATTCCACCACTTGGCGCGACCCCGCGCACGGAGGCGTGACCGGGGAAACGGGCACCACGCCGCGGGCTGGGGCCGATTCTGCGCAGCCGCGGGGCGAATCTGATCGTTTTACAAGTCCCGTCTCCTTGACACCTCAAAACGGCGCACCCGGGTTTCGAACTCGCCGATGGGAGCCGGCTGCCAGCGCGCGGGGGCCCCGGAAGAGCCCGTAAAGTCGCCCGCGCGGCCCCGACGCCCGTTGCCAGGAAACGCACCAGCTCGGTCCTGTGACGTCACGGCCGCGCCGGCCCCGCTGGTGACGTCAAAGATGCGCCGTCTCCAAAGACGCGCGCCGGCCCGACCTTGTGACGTCAGTGCCGCGCCGGCTCTGCAGTGTCCCGTGCCGGCCGGCTTGTGACGTCACTGCCGTGCCGGCGCCTCCCGGGAGCGGGCGCGGCCGGGGCTTCCTCGTTTGCAAGCCTGGAGATCGGCACGCGCGAGGCTCCAGCCACACGGTCCGCGAGCTGGAGGCCCGCCTTGCCGCGGGACACAAACCGTGGGGCTAAAACGAAAAGCGGGGTGCGCTGAGTCCGGTGACCCGCCGGCGCGGGGCGGAGCTTCCGGTGGGGACGGGGGTCGGTGGGCGGGACTTCCGGAGGGCTGCACTTCCGGCGCGTGGGCCGTCGTGGGCCTTTCGCACGTGTGCCGCGCTGCGGCGTCCGCGACGGGTATCTGTGACGGGCGTCTGCGGGCTGAGCCGGCGGCCATGGACTACCGGCGCGTGCTGATGAGCCGCGTGGTGCCCGGGCAGTTCGACGACGCGGACTTGGCTGACAGGTAGGCGGCGGCCGCCACGCCCCCCAGTGCGCGCAGCCGGCGGCGCGTCCCTCGGGCGCGTTACCCCTTACCCTGTGTTCCTCGCCCGGGTGGCCCCTGGCCCCGCTGTCCCCTCGCCCCGGTGCCCCTGGCTCCTGGATCCTTCCCTGCCCCGCCACGCGTGCGGAGGGAGGGAACTGCGGAGGTCGCGCGACTGCGAGAGGCCGTGCCGCCCAGGGATGCGTCCTCGGCCAAGCCGCGCTGGACACCCCGACCACGGGCGCCCCCACAGCGGGCCTGCGGGGCTCGCGATGTGCCCGGTCGCCCCCTGGAGTGGGCGTCACGCCTCACGCCGCTGCTAGTCCTACAGCAACGAGCAGCAGCGCCCGCCAACGGGCGTTGGTGCTGGGCTTGCTCCCGGGGACTGTGGAGGGACTCCCGGGCCCGGGGTCCGCGTGTGCCCGCGCACCTGGTGCAGCGCCCGGCAAGCTGCCTGGACGTTGCTGTTTCTAGCGAAAGCCTCGGCGTGACGGCCCCCACAGAGGGAGACTGTGCTCTGCTGGACGCCCTGCTGAGTGACCTGGTTGCGCCGGCCAGCGAGGCTGAGGGGGACAGGAACGGGGAGGAAGAGGAGGAGTATGAGGACGAGGACGAGGAGGAGGAGGACGAGGACGATGACTGGGACTGGGACGATGGAGTTGGAAGGCTGACCAGACTTTACACGCCAGGCGGGGGCGGTCACCCACAGGTGAGTTACAGGCGGTCAACCCACCTCTGTGCTCCCGGGTGTCTTTCATATCTAACACTGATGCACGGCTCCGGGTGTGCAGGGGTGAGTCTCAGGGGTGAAGCTGTTGGCGCCCACCGTGGCCCGAGTCCATCCCCGGCCAGGGAGGGACCCCGGGACTCGTCAGGCCCCTCCAATCTCCCCACTGCCCTCTCGGCAGGGGCTTTCAGGAGCCCCGCCTGTTCTGCTCCCCTCTCTGTATCTGGGACCACTGCACCCCTGGCCTGTGCCCTAAAATGTATGCGTAAATAAATAAACCTTCAGACACGTGAAAAAGGTTTTTTTGTAGTTGTGCCTAAAGGAGCTGGGCTGCACGCTGGTGGGCTGTTTTGCCTCCTGGGGCTCATACCCCAGGCTGAGCACTTACCGGGCTGAGCACTTCCCACACTGAGCCACACCTTTCCACAGGCCGGAGACCCGGTCTGTGCTCAGAGGCCGGCCGCTGCGCCCGGGCGCCCCCATGACAGTGACTGGGGCTGGTTCCACAGCGCGTCGAGCTTTCTCCATTGATAACTAAGGAGAGGAGATGCGAGGCCGCGTGGGCGCAAGACTCAGCTTCGCCTCCGCCTCAGGTCCACGCTGAACCGGCAAGGTTGAAGCAGTGACTGTCCGACGCCCTTCTAGCTTAGGCTGCTCCCCTGTGTGGGTTGTGGGTGTCGTCCCTGTCTTCTCCCCTTGCCACAGCCAGACCCAGGCTGAAGTCCCGTTTAACGTTGGCCTCAGCTCTCGTTACGTGCGCTGAGGAAGCTGCATCTGGTGTGAATTTGTTGTTCGTAGCAGCGGGAAGGGGGGCGTGCTGCAGAGATGGACGCCCACCCCTGCTCTCTACTAATTTTGCTCTCTCTTTCTGAGATTTACTTATTTATGCACACAGAACCGGGGTGCAGGCCAGACACGCAGGGGCGGTGAGAGGAGTCACAGAGACAGTGGGGAGCAGAACAGGCAGCTGTGTGAAACACACTGCTGCGGGGAGCAGCGGGGAGACAGGAGAGGTCTGCCGCGCGCCCTGGGGGTCATCTCCGGGGCAGGCGGGGCTGGAACTCGCACTGAGGCAGCCATGGCGGCCTGCAGTGCTGCGCCCTAACCTGACACGCCACCCGGGAGGGCCCCGCCCCCCTGGTTCTGACGCCCTTCTGAAACAACGTCCCTCAGGCGAATCGCCAGGGCCCGAGCCGCAGCTTGTCCCGAATGTCCACTCCGGCAGACAAGGTCTTACGGAAGTTTGAGAATAAGATCAACCTGGGTGAGTGCTCGAAATGTGCTTCCTCCCTGGGCTAGAGTCATTGGGACAAACTGCCAGGACCTCGCTGGACCGGGAGGGCCCGTGTGTCCAGCTGGGGGGCAGTGGCGCAGGGGTGAAGGCTTGTCGCGGAAGGCTTGGCCCTCGGGGTACCCGCTCTGGGCTCAGGCGCCCAGGGCTGTTGTGAGCCGCTGGGTTGGCAGCGGCGCCGGGCTGGGTACGCTAGGACCAGCCAGGGGACCGTCCAGCAGGACACGGGGTGTGCCTGGGCTGGGGGCGTTGGCCAGGCTGGTGGAAGTCAGCCCGGAGCTCAGCGGGTACCGGCTAGTCACTGCCCTGATGGGCCTGAGGTGTGCGCTTGTGGGCATCTGGGGTCAGGCTGGCACGGCTCAGCAGTGGGAGCTCCGGAGCTGGGATTGTCACAGGGCGGGAGCTGGGGGTGGGGGGGCAGGTTCAGAGATGGGGCTCACAGTTTACAGCCTGGGTTTGCGTTTTCCTTTTGTGCTCGCAGATAAGCTGAATGTCACTGATTCCGTCATGAATAGAGTCACCGAAAAGTCCAGGCAAAAGGAAGCAGACATGTGAGTGACACCTGCACCATAGACCCTGGCCAGCAGGGCAGCCCTGGCAGGCTTCGCAGTGGACCGGGCAGGGGCGTGTCAGGCTGGCCCTCAGTGCAGGGCCCTGCCACAGGCTTCTTTCTCAAGTAAAATGTGGGACCAGTGGGACGCTCGTGCGAGACCCCCTCAAGACCCCCTGTGGCCCCGTGTGACCCTCCGGGGCTTCAGAGCTGACGCCACGCCCCAGAATGGAGTCCTTGCGCCCCGTTCTCCGTCGCTGCCGGGCGTCGGCTGCTGCCTCGGTGCCTGTCACGCATCTGGCAGGGACCGCCAAGCTCCTGCAGCTCGTGGCTCGCCTGGCGGGCCGTCACCTCCGCTTCCTCGCTGTCCACCGTTGCCGCGGGGCCCACGGGGCCTGCCCCCTCGAGGCGTGGGGTCTCCAGGGCCTGCATAGCAGGCCGGTGCACCAGGCGCGGGGGCCTTCCCCTGCCGCGCCACCTCTGGCCGGGCGCCGGTGAGGGGTCCCCCGGATGGGGCAGTGAGCTCGGCCTTTGCTCCCAGGGGGCGCACGTCAGAAACTGCAGCGTGGGGGCTGGGTTCTGGGGCTCAGCTGCATCCCTCTCCTGGGCTTAGGTACCGCATCAAGGACAAGGCGGACAGGGCGACTGTGGAGCAGGTAGGACTCCGGCGGCGCTGGGCTCTGGCATGCTGCTCAGCCCATCCTCGCTGCCTGTGACGTCGCCGCCGTGCCCAGCCCTGGGCTGAGACTGGTCCCGTCGCCTGGCGACGCCCATGAGGTTCGGCCGCGCCGCCGCCTCCTGCCCCACTCAGCTCAGCGTCCACTTGCAGCAGCTGGGTCCTGCCCCGCGGTCCCGGGGTCCACCACTGCCTGGCAGGCCTGAGCCTGGGCTGGCAGTGGCCGCCGCCTCCCATGCGCTTTCACCTTCACGTTTTGCTTCGACCTCGGTGCCCGTTCGGAGTGGGTACCCGCCCCCCTCCCACACGCCGCGTCTCACTCCCTGTCGCTGCTGGTGCTGGCGGCAGGCACCCTGCCGCTGGCCGCGTGACCTTGGGCTTGGCTGCCGCCTGCCCCCAGGGCGGCATCAGCCGGAACTCGGGGTGGACAGGGGCCGCATGCGGACCCTGCTGAAGGTGACCTGTCCACGGCCACCGGGCACTGGAGACGGCCAGTGCCACCCAGCCAGGCGCTAGGTGTCTGGGCGTGGTGCGTCTTCGGGACACAGGGACGGGGCGGTGGTCAGCGGTCTGGCCAGGCGCTTCCTGCGGTCTGTGACCGCCGTCAGTGTGATACCTGAGCTGTCCCGGGGCAGGCAGTGGCGGGGAGCCCCCCGGGGGCGTGTCCTGCTCTGGCTGACCTGGCCGTTGGTCGTCGCCGCAGCCGCCCTCGGTCCCCGTGGCCCAGACCCCTGCCTCGCCGTCCCTGGCCCCTGCCCACGCCGCCCCGCGGCCCCTGCACCGCCCCTCGCTCGGGCGCCGCCCACACCGGCTGGAATTTGGGTCCCTGCAGGTGCTGGACCCCAGGACGCGGATGATCCTGTTCAAGATGCTGAGCAGGGGTGTCATCGCTGCGATCAACGGCTGCATCAGCACGGGCAAGGAGGTGAGCCGCCGGCGTCCCGGTCCCCACGAGAGGGGGCGCCGGACGCCTGTGCGTGGCCCAACCTGCGCCGCAGGGCGGGTCCAGCGCAGCCTTGCCCTGCCCCCTCCACGTGTGGGACTGGGGGTGAGGGGAACCGGGGGAGTGGGGCGGGCTGCGGCAGACGCACGCGCCCCGTGGAAGCCCTCCACTGCCCGGGCCGTGGCTCCATGCGCCTGACTCGGGCAGCCCGTGGGGGCAGCCTGGGCTCGGCGCTCAGCCCGCTGTCTGGCGCGGCAGGCCAACGTGTACCACGCCAGCACGGCTGGCGGCCAGAGCAGGGCCATCAAGATCTACAAGACGTCCATCCTGGTGTTCAGAGACCGGGACAGATATGTCAGTGGGGAGTTCCGGTGAGCGCGGGGCCCACGGGCGGCGGGGCCCACGGGCGGCCGGGCCCACGGGCGGCCAGGTGGCGGCTGACCGCAGCCCTCTTGCAGCTTCCGCCATGGCTACTGCAAGGGCAACCCCAGGAAGATGGTGAGGACCTGGGCGGAGAAGGAGATGAGGAACCTCGTCAGGTGGGCGGCCGCGGGGCGCCGGGCTCATGGGGGCACCGGGGCCGGCCAGGGCTGGTGATGGACCGGCCGGTGCAGGTGCCTGGTGCCAGCGGCGGGGTTGCCCGGAGCGCCCGGTGACGCTCACCTGGCCCATGCTGCGCAGGCTGAGCGCAGCGGGGATCCCCTGCCCGGAGCCCCTCCTACTGCGGAGCCATGTCCTCGTCATGGGCTTCATCGGGAAGGACGATGTGTGAGCGCCGCCGCGGGGGGCAGCGGGGGGCCGGGCCTTGGGCGGGGGCGGGCCCGGGGGCCGTCAGGCCTGAGTGTGGTGGCGGGGGAGGGGGGTGAGGCTCGCCTGGGGGAGGGGGCGGGCCCTGGGCCGTGCGGGCCAGGGGCGCGCTGACCGCTTCCGGTCTCCCAAGGCCTGCGCCGCTGCTCAAGAACGCGCACCTCTCCGAGTCCAAGGCGCGCGAGCTGTACCTGCAGGTGGTGGAGAACGTGAGGAGGATCTACCAGGACGCGCGGCTGGTGCACGCGGACCTCAGCGAGTTCAACATGCTGTGAGTGCCGCGGGTGCGCCCCGCCCCCACCCTGCCCCCCACGCAGTGAGTGCTGCCCTGCGTGCGCCCCCGCGCCCCATGCTGTGGGGGGGCGCTCCCGCCCGGGGTCCCCTCGCCCCTGCCGCCCTGCCCCCACCGTGGAGGGTTTGCACAGGTGCGGGCTGGCAGCGTGTCCCGTGGGCCCCACGCCCGGGGTCTCTGCTCCGCCCAGGTACCACGGCGGAGGCGTGTACATCATCGACGTGTCGCAGTCCGTGGAGCACGACCACCCCCACGCCCTGGAGTTCCTGCGGAAGGACTGCGCCAACGTCAACGGTGCGTGGCTGCACCGCCCGCGCCTGTCCGGTGGCCGCTGGCGAGGCCGTGCGGGGCCGCGCCTAGCCGTCGCCCCGTGCGCCCACAGGTTTCTTCCGGAAGCACGGCGTGGCCGTGATGACCGTGCGGGAGCTCTTTGAGTTTGTCACCGACCCGTCCATCACCCCGGAGCACGTGGATGCCTACCTCGGGGAGGTGAGCCCGGGCGACGGAGCCTCACGCGGCCTTGGGGCTACCCCGGCCGGCGGGAGGCTCC